GACCGCCTGGCAGCTGAGACCGTAGCGGCCTTCGGGGCAGAGGCGCTCGGCGCAGCGGTGCCCGGTAAAGCCGTGCTCGCACAGACACGCGCCGTTTGCTGGGAAACAGCGCGCACCGGGGACACAATCGCACGTCCCGTTACAGTCCTGCCCGAAGCTGCCCACCGGGCACTCCTCGCGGCACCTGGCATGGCGTGAAGTGAGTCCGGCCGTGCCCACCTCCAGCCTGCCCTCGCCCCCGCCGTTCCGTGACCTGGCCACTCACCGGTCACCCGTGTAGCCTGGGGCACAGCGGCACTGCCCAGAGAATCGATCGCAGAGGCCACCGTTGTGGCAGCGACATTCCTGGGAGCAGTTGGGTCCGTGGAGGCCCTCTGGGCAGGGCAAGGAGCAAACAGCGCCCTGGGGGTGAGAAATCCACACTTGGGCACCCACCCCTTCTGCAAGGCCACAGGGCCCCTTGATCCCGAGTCCCCAAACCTAGCCCCTTACACACCCTCCCCAAACTGCTGTCTAGAGCCACACCCAGAACTCTTCCCAGATCCCCACACCCACAAGCCCACCCTACATACCGTCCAGCCGGGGGGACAGCTGCAGGAGCCCCGGCGGGCCTGGAAGACACCCCCATTCTGGCAAGGGTAGGTGGGAGGGCACGAGAAGCCAGCAGTGCCCCAGGGACAGGACACATCGCAGCTGCAGGGCAGAGGGGTGAGGTCGGGGTGTAACAAGTGGCACAGCACCCACTGCCTCTCCAAAGGCTGGCCACTTGCACACGCCACAGCCCTACAAGAAGGGCCTAGCTGGACTGAGAGCCACACGTGCTCCTCCTGCTAGGGACTGTGGATCGAAGAGAGCAGGGACACCCCTGCTCCAGCAGGCAGGCTCCCCTCCAGCTGTTCTGTCCGGGGGCTGGGCTCTGGCAGCTGCCCCATCTCTGTACCTGTTCCCTTCCGGACTGCCCAGCCTCATCCCCGCACGCTGCCCGCCAGCCCTCACTCCCTGGTGTCTCAGGCTGCAGCAGCCCCCAAAGACAGCAGGCTCTGCACCGTCAGGATGACTCTGTGATCTTGTCAAGGCTGCTGGGCCAGGGAGCAGCAGGGCTGGGAAAGGAGCCTGGTCTCTCAGCGCTTGGGACACCAAGCGAGTGCCCCCACCCCAAGCGTTCCGTGGGGCCTGCGTCTGCCACTTCATGACATCACACACCTGGGCCCCGTTCTCCCTGGGGGACAGAGGCAAGCTCCAGTCTGGGGATCACAGGGTGCCCCGTGGCACTGGCACTGGAACTGGCAGGCAGGGCCGTATCGGCCAGGGGTGCAGGGCTGAAGGCAGTCGGGAGGCTGCAGGCCAGAGGGGCAGGAACATGCCCCACTCACAGGATCACAGGAGCTGCTGTTGCCGCAGTGGCAGGGCTGGTCACAGTGCAGCCCCCACATTTCAGGGGCACATGCTGCAGGATAAGGAGGTGGAAGGCTCACCACAGGCCAACTACCCCCAGCCTCCAGCTAAGCCCAGTCTGTCTCCGCCACGTCTTCGGAAAAGGCAGCCGCTGCAGTAGGGCTCCGGTATTCACCCCGGAGTCCTGAGCACCTGTGCCCAGCAGGGGGGACCTCTCTGGGACCACCAGACACTCACCACTGGAGCAGTCATCGCCCCGCCATCCCGGCACACACTGGCACTGATTGGGCGCCACACAGCGGCCATGGACACACTCCTGGGCGCAGACCGCTGGGACAGAGATGCGCGAATGAGAAGAGGCCTCCACGCTCCGCTTCCCACCGTTCATCTCCTAAGCCCAGCCTCCTCCCACACGAGGGACCACGTTCTCCGGCCCCGCTTCTGTCCCGAGATGGAGGGAGGTGGAGGGGCAGCAACTTGGGTCAGGACTCTGGGGTCCGAGCCCCTCGTGTGAAATTTTCTAAGCACGCTGTTGGGAAGTGGGGGGGGCTCAAGTGGGGGCTGGGCACAGAAACCGTGGGAGAAGGTACAGGGAGGAAAGCTGGGTCAGGCGGGGAAGGAGTCTGCCAGGGTGGGGATGGGCAGGAAGAGGGCAGCAGGCAGGGGCCAGTCTGGGCTCCAGTGGGCGAGGAGCGGAGAGCGACAAGTCACAGCAGGAACAGCAGAGGTGGGGACAGGAGGACGCAGAGAGGGACCCAGACACCGAGCCCCGAGACGGAGACAGCCAGGCAGAGTCCAATGAGAGCTCAGCTACAGAGAGAGTGAAAAGTCACACCGAGGGGTGCTGCCCGGGACCCCGGGGACCCCGCTCCCCGGCTGTGTGGACAGCCGGATGCCCAGCTCTGTCTCTTGCCAGCGCAGCTCGAAGATGAGAAGCCTCCGCTTCCAGCCTGCCTACCCGACCCCACAGCTCCTGCCCAGGCTGCGGCCAAGGCAGGCACTGGAGTGGCAGAGGAGTAACCCCACCCTGGCGGGGCAGGGACAGCTCCGGGAGGGCGGGCCGAGCCCCTCGCACTCCATGCCAGCCTGGGCTGGGTGGGACTCACGGACACACGTCCCGCTACTCTCGTAGAAGCCCTGGCAGCAGCGCAGGCGCAAGCGATGGTCTGTCTTCACCACTTGGCGGTACACGGTCCGGTAGACAACCCTGGGGGACCAGGAGGGAGCCCTCGGTGCTCCTGGTTGAGATGCCCGCTGCCAACCCTCAGCTCAGCGGGCACTGGAGACAGTGAGGAGCCTAGAGAGTATTTCCTCCTGTCCCCTGCACGTGCGCACACGCACACGCACACACACACGCGCGCATGCATCCCAGCCAGTGCTATGCACACACATGCATGAATTCATGCATACGTGCCGGCCACACTACACACATGCACACGTGGACTCACACGCACCCCAGCCATGTAGACCATGTGCCCTGGAGGGGAGGGGAGCAGAGCACCCCGGGGTCAGAGGTTTCCTAAGAGGCACAGGTTCTGAGAAGAGCCTGGGGCCGGAGGCCAGTGCCGGGCTGAGGTGGCACCATGGAGACAGCAATGGCGCAGGAGCCCCAGGAGGGGCCCGGGTACTCACGTGGGCTGGGGGCAGGGGTGGAGGCTGGCCCAGGGCTTGTTGCAGGACTCCGAGGAGGGCAGGCTGAAGGGCCGGGAGTGTGACTCCTTGGTGGTTGTGGTAAAGCTGCAGGAAGGGAAGAGGGGCAGGGAGCAAGCAGAGTGGGGAGCTTGGCCTTCAAGGGCCCCTCTCCTGTCTGACACACTCCTCCCAGGACTGGGTGTTCCGGGACACCTCCCTCTGCAGCCTGCTCTCCTCTGTCCACGGGAAGATGGGGGCAGGACTGACTTCCGGGGTCAGCTGGGCGGCTCTGGGCTGAAGCACTTCTGGCTAGATTTTGCCCTGGGTCTTATTGCTCAGCCCTGTCCCCCTTGTCCCCCAGCTGGCCCCTCTGTTTCACTGTGAACGGTTCCATCCTGTCCTGCACTCTATCCTGCACCTGGACTCCCACAGGACCCCGAAGCTGCAGACAGGGGAAGGGCAGAGACTGAGATATGGTGAGGCACAGAGACAGCGCAGGCAAGGAGAGAGAGAGATCAGAGGGCAGGGAGAGGCTGCAGAGTGGGCACAGGCAGGGAAGGGAGCCAGGAAGGGGAGCCCCCTGGGGACATCCAGGAACTTGGGCCTGGCATCTGAGGAGCCACAGCAGGGGCCCCTCTCACCTCTCCCAGAAGCTGCAGACATTGGGATCGTTGGAGTTGAGAGTTCTGGTCAGCCCCAGGTCCAAGGCCAGCAGAAGGAGGGGACGCAGAGGTGACAACATTGCAGGGTCCCAGCAGCCAGAGTCCGGCATCCACAGAGATCTGGCCAGTGGGCATGCAGGAGAGGAGACCAAGCTCCCTCAGCACTGGCTTCCAGGCCTTACCCCAAGCAGGGGAAGGGCTCTGCCTCTAGGGCCCCAGTCCTGATCTGTCCAGAGCAGGCATCTGCATTCCTCCCTGCTGTGCTCCCCGGCCCACTGCCCACTCACGTCTCCTGGAGCCCAGCACCATTCAGCCACACCCCACCGCTCTGGTGCCTGTCCCCGCGCCCCAGCCTCCAAGAGTAAGGACCCAGGGCCCCTTTACCTGAGTGCCAGGCCCAGCCCATGTGAACCCAGAGCACCTGAGCCTGCATCAGGGTGCCATGAAGCCAGAGGTGATGAGGGGGCTTCTCAGGGGGCAGCACCGCAATGGAACCAGCTGCCTCGGGCATGAGTTCCCTGTCACTGATGGGTGGGCTCCTGTTCTAGGGCTGGGAATGGGGCTGGGGCCAAGCCCACCAGGGTGCCCTGAAATGCTCAGCTTCTCAGGACACCCTGCACCGGCCCTTGAGGTCACCGCCTGCCCTGGAAGCCGGCTCCCCTCATTTGCCCGGCCTCCCTGCAGGGTGGGAGAAGAGTCAGGAAGTCGGAAGTCCACCCTCTGGGCTGGGCACCGTGGGCTGCTGGTCCGGAGCCAGCTACACTCCCTGAGGCACTCACATCTGCTTGTGATTTTTCCAGAGAAGCAGAAAGGTCTCCACTGCTGGCCCCTAACCGCCCCCCAGCATCTCTGGAATGCCGCTGGCCCCACCCCACACCCCACCCACGCTCTCCCACCACCCACCCCCCCCAACTTAACCCCGGGTCTCCCTAGCTTAACCCTGTCCCTGCTGCTCCCCCCAACACCCCCTAATCCATCAGAGAAGCTTTGCGTTCTCCACAGCCAGGCTCCAACATCCCCAGGGACAGGGCCGCCTCCTCACCCCCAGGCTGTCCCTATGCTTCTCCCATAACTCACCAGGTGAGGACCAAGCAACTCAGGTGAGCCAAGCCGAGCCGAGCCGAGCCGAGCCAAGCCGGGGCTCCAGCGAGGGTGCGGGAGCCACAGGTGTCCTGAGGGATTCCAGCACTCCGGACTGGAACCTGAAAACAGGAAGCAGGGCCTGGCTGGGATGGGGGGCCGGGGGAAGGGCATGGCAGCAGGGGCTTTCCATCCCCCACAGCCCAGAACACATGGGATGCAGGAGGGGCAGGGCTAGAGGCCTCTTGGTGGTGGCTTAGCTCCTGGGCTGGCACCGTGGCCCACTGGGGCAGTCCGGTGCCCTTCAGATGCCCTTCATAGTCCCTCCCACTACCTTCCGGCCCTGTCATGTCTGGCCCCTTCCTGGCCTCCTCGCTGGCCCAGGTCACTTCCCTCCTCTCCCGGCAGAGCCCTGGGCTTGGAGAGCCCTGTCCACTCCTCATCTGCTAAGCTGCACAGGGGCTCTAGGGCCTTCCCCTGCCCTGGACCTATCTGCGAGCCCTTGCCCACTGAGAGTGGACAAAGCCTACAGCAGGAAGGACTTGCCGTCAGGTGCACGTTGGTGGAGCTGCCAGGCCCATCGCCAGGCCCTCCCCATGCACGGGGGCACCTGCCCCAAGAGGGGGTGCACCCACTCACCCTCCGGGTGCCCTTGGGGTCTCTGTGGCGACCCTGCCGAGGGAGCAGGGGCACTGAAGAAGCGTCTCTGACGCCCCGGAGCTGGCCGCGGGAGGTGAAGGGGATGGGGGTGGCCGCGCTCCGTCCCCATGAAGGTTCTCAAGGGGCCAGGCTTTAAGGCGGAGGCGTCAGCGCTCATCCAGGGCAGGACGCCAAGGAAGGTGGGACCAGGGGAGACGGCGGGTGGTCAGCAGAGGGAGCCATGGGATGGGGGTCACACGGGGACCTGAGGCCTCCGAGAGGGGAACGCAGGCCAGACAGGAGCCCAGAACGCAGCCAGGCCTCCCCCGCTTATTCCCATCTGAGCCTTGGTGGGGCACTGGGCACCTAAGTCCAGGCCTGCGCTCCCACTCCCGGCTCCCGGTTCCCATCCAGTCCCAGCAGCAAAGGGCCCATGTGTTCCACAGCGCCCCCCAGTGGCCACATCAGGCAGTTCCCGGCTCCGTGCCCTGCTCTGACCCTGGGGCCCAAAGCCCTCTCCCTGAGAGGCCCCCGGGCCCCCCTGCAGCCTCAGCCCTCCCTCCCCTGCTCAGCCACTGCCTTCCTTCCACTAAGCCTCTTGTTTGGGGGCCCAAACACCTCCTCTCACAGCAAGAAGAGTGTGACCACACTCGCTTTCACTGGCTGGGACAGGCAGGATGCCAAGCAGTAAGGAGCCGCTACCAGGCATGGGAGTGGAGAACCTGCCGAGGCCACGCGGCCCGCAGGCAGTGGCACAGCTGGGATCCCAGGCAGCTGGCGGGGCGCTCAGTGGCTCCAGTCTCTCCTGAGCCGGGGCTGTCTGCCTCCTTTGTAACAGCTCAGCCACGGGGGAGGCGGAGAGGAGAGGCAGAGTGGAGGCTGCAGGACTCAGCCCGTGACCCCTCCCCATACACGCCGGCTGGGCTCCTGGCCAGCACGGGGTGAGGCCCTCACAGCCGGGCCTCTACCTTCCCTGCCCCCAGGAGGAGAAACTGAATCTGGGGCTTCTCTGCTCCTGCTGATGGGGAAAGGGTCCGCATCCATGGAAACAGTGGGGGTGAAGGACCAGAGCAGGGGCCTTCCGCGGGCTCCCTTCCAGCTCCTCAGGCAGTAGAGCCGCACAGGGCACCCCAGCTCCACACCCTCCACCCACTCCAGCTCCAACCCAGGTGTGAATCCCAGCCCAGCTCCTCCTCGGAAAGGGGACTGATAATAGTTGCTCCCTCTGCGGGGTTGTTGAATGACTAAGTGAGGTGATAAAGACAAGGTTCCTAGCATCAAGCACACAGGGCACAGCCACGTGGACAGCAGCCGTCCCCGGCGTGGCATGTTCAGTCCTCCTCCCACTCCAACCCACGGCCCCTTCCCTCTTTCCGAGCTGTGAGGCCCTCTGGGCATTAATTCTGGGAAAAACAGTTTCTTGCTTTTCTGAAGAACCCCCACGATGATACGGGAATGGGAAGGGGCTGAAAACGCTGACACTGGGAAAGGAAGTGGTGATGGGAGGGGCCGGCTCCACGGAGAACCTGATCCCCAGAACCGCAGGCCGCCGGCCAGGTGCATCTTCCAGCCAGGACGACGGGAGGTGGAGGCCTGAACCCTGCCCCGGCTCCAGCTCCAGCCCCACTCCATCCCCTTTCCCATCTTGGGGTCCACAGGCTCCAGGCTTTCTGGACCAGTGACCTCGGAGGTCACTCGGCCCTCAGAGCCTCAGTCTCCTCATCTGTAAAATGGGAAACACCCAGCCACCGGGAGCCAGGGAAGTTCCAGTAATCAGCCAGGTGCCCAGCCTCAGCCTGGAGCCGGGGATCACAGCCTGTGCTGTTGCTTCCTTTCTGACCTTTTTCTGATTCTTCATCAAAAACTCTACTGGCTGCCTCCACTGTCTGCCTCTCTCCTTCCCTTGCTTTTCTTTTTTCTTGTATCAGGAGTCGAAGTCGAACTCGGGCCCTTGCGCTTGCAAAGCAGGTGGCAGAACCACTAAGCTAAATCCCCAGGCCTCTCCTTCCCTTTCTAGGCCAAGGCCGGCACGGACAGTTGTGCAGTGGGCTCATTGCTAAGGACCCGGCAATCAAGGGGGGCGTGGGCTCCCTTTCCTGGAAGGCTGCTGTCTTCTGTCTCACCCTCTCCGGATGCTATCCTCGCGTGCCAGGGAGACAGAAAACGTCGCACTCCCCTCCCCAGGGAGCTCCGCCCACAGCCCCGCGGCCCGCTCAGCGCCACCCTCCCACCCTCCCGAGAGCGAGCGCAAAGCCCCTCCTGCATCCGGAGCGATCCGGCTCCCAAGCGTATCTGGCGGATGGAGGGACAGGAAGCCTGCGCGCGCCGCGCCGGGGCGGGCGGGAAGGGGCAGGGGTGAGGGGCCGGCCTTGTGTTCTCTGCGCTCAGGAAACGGAGCCAGGGGTCCTGGGTCCGACCTGTTTACTCATCAGGAAACAGGGACGCTGTGGGCTCTGATTCACCAGCCGAACCCCGCGCCCGACGCGGGCTGGTGCCAGCCAGACCCAGCCCTGGCCGCCCTGGAAGGTGCTAGCCGTTGTCACACAGCAGGCACTGAGGTGCCCGTAGAAAAGGACTTGTCCCAGCACAGCCCCAGGGCCGACTGCGGTAGGCCAGGGGCTGCAGGACTAGTATCCCCTTCCAAAGAAAGAGGAGCGGATGGGGTTACACAGGACTGCCTCCCTCTACCTCCTTCTGCGGCTCCCCACTGCAGGAAAGGGCAGACAGAGGCCCTGTCCTCCGATCCCACTGGACAATGTGCTGCCCTCACATGCCTCCCACCACTCAGCCACCCCTGCCCAGGCCACCCTGGGGCACCCACTCCTCCCAGCTTCCAAGGCTGGCCTCCTGCAGGAGCCCCCCGTAGCTCCCTGCCCTCCAGGCCTTCCTTACAGGGTTCTCGCCCAGCTCTGCCAGGCTGGCTCCCAAGGTCCCGCACTCTGTCTGCCCTGTTTGGCACTCACACCCTGCACCGAGCCCATGGGCACTGTCCAGGGACCTGCTGGAGCTGCAGCCATCTAAGGCCACAGCGCTCACTGGCTCGGCCAGGGGCTTTCGTTTTCCCCCACACCCATCCAGGAGCCTGGTGGATTCTCCGTTTGTTTAGCACAATGCTGGGGCTCAAACCTAGGGCTTTACGCGTGCCAGGCAAGTGCTGTACCTGGCGCTGCCTTCCGTTGTCTGTGCCCACTGGGCTGGGCTCCCCAGGCAGGGCCCTTCCACGTCCCCAGCACTGCGGGCACCAACATGCAGGGCACAGCTCAAGCTGGGATGAGCTGGACAGACACCCTGGGCTGGGTCCAAGGAGCCGCGACAGTTCCCAGGGCCTCCTCCAAGGCTTGGAGAGAGCGAGGCAGGGGCCAGCGGTGGAAGGTGGAATTCAGAGAGAATTCCCCGTCACACAGCCACAGCGGCTCCGGACCTCCGCTAGAGTCCACGAGGCTGACCTCCGAGCTTCTTCAGCATGGCACGGGCCAGGCCACTGAGCCGCCCGGCACTGTCAGGGCTGACACTGCCACCCACTGCACTGGGTCCCAGGGGCTTGCAGCATTCTTTTCATCCTCTGGCAACACAGCAATTTGGTGCTAGTGTGCACCCACTTTATAGATAGATAAATATCCCAGAAAGGTTGGTCGTTTTCGCTGGGTCACAGCCAACATCGGCAGAACAGGGAATTCTGGACAAGATCTGTCCTGCTTCTAGGCCAGAGCTGCCTCCACTCTCTACCCCTGGGGCTTCTCTTTGGCTCTCTGACCTTTCTGTTCTATCTCTAAGGTCCCTCACCCCAAGCCTGGCTGTTTCACTGAGTCTTTGCCTTGCCTGTATCTGCCTGCCTCACCTCCTGTCCCTCATTTCTGCTGGCTTCTCCCCCAAGAGTGAAGTGCCAGGAGCCACCCCCTTGCCACAAGCTGGCAGGAGCAGGAGCCCAAGCCCTCCTTCTCCCTGGGGCACTTGGAGGCCCTGCCTGGGAACCCCTGTGTGTCTCCAGGCTCCGGCTGGTGGATGGGGCTGCCTGGGAGGGAGTTCCCCTTTGGGAAGGTCGGACAGGGAGCAGGGAGCAGTGGGTGGAGAGGCTGCCTCCCTGCCTCACCTCCCAGTGCAGAGGGACCTGCAGAGCCAAGTGGGTGGCCCTGAGCAGCAGGGTGGGCAGCC